TAGCTTAACGCTGAATGTTTGGAAAGCTCTACAAAGAGTTCGCCGACGAATTAAAACTTATCTTTCGAGCTCAAGTGGTTCGGAGACAGGTTGTTGTAAATTAACTTAGCAACAATAAACACCTGATAAGCCGAACGAAGCGTTTCTCCATTTTTTGTTGACAAGTTGCGCCGCGCTTGTGACGTCATCGTAATGAGAACGAACCTCTTTTTTATATCGCAGCGGTTTCGTTTTATTAAGAATAGAAGGATTAAAAAATGTACATCGTCACATTGATTAACCTAGTGCAGGAATAAAATACGTATAAAATACAAGCGCCATTGTTCAATAATATTAAAACCGATTATGCAACCAATGGTAATTGTTAATGTGAAGAAACGGGTTCATGAAAGCATCTGTCTCATTTATAATCTAATTTATGATATAATATAATATTACCATTAGTGATGAGACTGAATTAACAAAGCTAATGATAAGACTAAACCCAAGAGCGAATATGCAAGATCAAAACCAAATAAGGAAGACTAAACGAAAAATTATTACTTTCGGTAGATTTAGAGTTAAACTATTTGAAGCAACGTTAATACATATATCCTCTTCTTGCTACAAAACATTTTTTGAATTTGAAATTTTCAGTTTGCTTTGCTAGATTTCTTTACTTTAACACTATTTGAAAAAGGGGATCTACAAGAATGTCCTCGCAGTAAGTGTTGTGTGTCTGGATTATACATGGTTGAAATGTAGAGATATCCTTTCAAGTATATATCTTGCACTATTTTTTTGCTAAAAGGTCAATTTATACGTTGGAGAAAGGGTCAATTTATGGGTGAGCAAAAGATAAATTGATGAATTTTCGTAACTGTCACTAACTATTGAAGTATTTTCTTTAATAGTCATGACAAGCGCACATATATGACATAAAAATTTCAACATTTAAAGCAATTATTGTGCCGGTAAATAGAAAAATTGTGTTTAGAAGGATTATTAGGAAAAAAGTAAGTATCAGATTAAATGAACAAGACCAAGACTTAACACGCAAGACCAAGGCCAAGATCAGAACTAGAAGTACATGAGCAAGACCAAAACCAAGATCGAATAAGCAAGACTAGAACCATTGGTCTTCATCACTACACATACTTACCATTCTTTTTATATATGTTGTGGAATGCGAGTCTTGTTTTAGTGAAGTTGTCTAAATTGACAAACTATCGCATTGGTGTCAACTGTACTTTTTAACGGATATGTTTGGAGTCATAAGGTTACGGTAGGAAAAGACAACACGTACAATGTGAATGTTGTCGTGGTTCCTTTTGTTTAGTAGTCAGTATGGCAGCTGCAATACTTGAACTAAACTTCAGGGAAGGTGCAGTAAAATGCAGTTTTAGGCAAATAAATTAGTTGTTTTCTTTTTCCTCCTAAGTTTCAACTCTTAACTTTTATCGGTCATTTTGGGTTCAAAGGACTGTATAGGCAGCAGCCATTTTCATATTGTAGGATCTAGATCCATTATTTTATTGTGGGGTTTCAAATAAAAATCACTCTAAACATGTAATTTTTGATTAGGGGTTCTTCATAAAATACTTTCGCAAATATGAGTTGTATTAAGAGGAGAAGAGCGTCTAAGGAAATGTGACGTTCGCAGTTCATCAATTTTATTTCAATGTTTTTTTTAACTTGACTTCTTAACATTTTTCATTAAGGTAGAAATTCAATTTTAATCACAAGAAATTGTTTTATAGGGGGGGTGGGTGGACTAGCTTTTTTGACGTAATATTTGTTAGGGGAATTGCTAAAAGGACCTTCATGCATTATGTGAGAAGGTAGTATATGTGTGGAAAAAACAGGAATGACCTTCTATAACATTACGAATGTATTTTTGGGGGAACAGCGGGTGTAGGTAAAATATTGAACATCACTAAATAAATACACGCAACCTAGCCTAACCTAACGTCTCCTAATTTAACATGGTAAATAGTATTTTGAAGGTGTTTTTTGATTCACAGATGATGCCATGTGTAGAAGTAGAAGTAGAAGTAAACCCATTTAGAAATAATGTGGCACCTAGTGATGGGTGTCACACATTGCAAATTTGAACGCTATTAATTAAGAATACAAGTAATATTTAAAGTATATTAGAAAGAGGAAACTGTGGTAAATATTAATTAAAAATTAAAAGGAAGACTCACCCCTAATTACCACAAAAAACTTTATTTGAGCGGACACGTGTTTCGCCCACTTCATACGTGGGCATTATCGCAGTCGCAATCTCGCGTTGATAATGCCCACGTATGAAGTGGACGAAACACGTGTCCGTTCAAAAACTTTTTTGTGGTAATTAGGGGTGTCTTCCTTTTAATTTTTAAGTAATATTTAAGTCAGTAGTCAAAACTTTTGGTTAATAACTTAACAAAATATTTCTAATAAGTTATTATTATTAGTTAATAGAAATCGTTTGCATATGTAATAAGTCATTTCAGCAAAATGTGTCAGAAATACCGAATGTTATTTGATAAACAGAATTTTTCTTAGAATTTTATAACGTTGTTCGTCAAACTTGTTTGCCTATAAAAGTTGAAGCCGACCAAGTACCTATTGTTAACAGCATTTGCAAGGAGAACAAATAAATACTCTTCGTCAGTAGTCTGATTTGTATAAAATCGGTACTTTCAGGACTTTTCCCTCACCTTGCATCTTAATTTAAACCTTGATGTTCGGAAATTCCAAAAATCATAAGGCACCTGCTGGGTCTCTAACGGGATTATGATGTCTTTACTTCTATTTGACCGTTTGAGCAACCAATTTGAACCTTCAAGGGCATTAGTAGGTAACAACGTATAAACAAACAAAAACAGAGGCGTAGAAATAAAATTTGCAAAAGCAAAGGCTTGTAATTAACTCACAAAAAAATGTACCTGCTATGAACAAATATATCAAATTTAAAAAATTAACCATTTTGTTTTAGTTTTAAGTTACTTATTTATCTATATATATATATATATACATTGCATACTTACATTTACAAAATTGTGTTACTTTTTTAAATTTGTTACATATTAAACGTAAGGAATAAGACTTTTAAGTGTTTCAAAAATTTTTTCATCTTATTGAAAATAAAAAGTCTTTATTCCTTGTTTGCTTTTAAAAAAAAATCACAAATTACAAAGCAGTGACCCAATGTATCAGAAGTGTTAATATGTACATATTGTTAACATTTATTACTTTCGAGTAGAATAGGTTTTTTGTTATTTATTAGTAGGTACTTATATTATTATTATTATACCAATGGTTAGGACCTACCTACTACAGAATCAATCGTATCAAATACGTTAATATAACCAAATAAATAAATTAAAAAATGCGACAATTTGTCAGTGTGCGTACAGTCGCCATTTTTTGGGTCCCTAACAATAAGTTTTTATATTTTTTTAGCAATATCAAACAAATTTTATTATGTATATTATCAGAGGTTTATAATACTTAATTATTTCAATTTTAAATGAAAATGTATAGCCGTAACTATCACCTACGCCTGTGGATTGAATAGTAAATATTTGACCCACATGCCTGTCTACTTAATACAAATCGGCCTTATCATAGATAAAATTTCCAGAAATTTTAGACAATGCGATACCAGCGCGGCTGGTTTATCCGAAGGATTTTGAAGTCATTCTCTCTGAAATCTGATACTAAGAGCAGGTAAATGCGGTAAACGTTGTACAAATTGTCCCTTTTGATAATCTGGTTAAACCACAATGCTGAAAGCGATTTCGGAACGAAAGATCGAAAAGAGACTTCTAATTTCTTTACAAGGTATTTAAGAAAATGCTTATTCGGCAATTAATATTTCCAAAAGTTTCAACCGTGATGAATATTACCTACACATTGTAGGTAGATGATGTAATACCTATTGGTATTTATTCTGTCAGATTCAGCTACCCATGATAAAAAATCCTTTGCCTTCTTTTGGGAGATTATTTTTACCTTTGCGAAAACAGTTACCTACATATATTTTGATATTTTAACATTTCGAAATTCGGTTGTCTTTCTAAATAACTAGGTAATAATTACAAAAATTTATTTTTCAATTACTACTACGTTTCTACAAATTACGAAATTGAGATCACAATTTTAATAATTTAAAAATGATAAAACTAGGATTCTGGATTTGCACTGCGTCAATAAAATGAATGTTGTCGTTCTGAATCACATGGGTCATTTTCAGAAGAAGAAATACTCCTCTGTAGCAGATCGAGATCGGAAGAATCCTGAAAATGTATCGTGCGATGAAGGACGAAACGTACTTTTAACGCGGTGTATAGTCAGAATTAAAAATAAAAAGGGAATTGTAAATGAGGCATGAGGTCTAAATACCTTTGGCGTAGGTACTAAAGGCATACGTATTTCTGGGGTGTGTTTACTACTAAATTCAATTCCTACATTAAAAAATTAAAGGTAGAATTATTGTCATTTTTTGCACAAACCTACCTATACTTATAGCAGTATGCTGTTAATTTATTATGAGTGATAAATTGTGCGTAAATGACTAATGGCGGTCAATCTACAACACAATATAGTTACCAACTTAAAAATCGCGGCACATTCTCATTATTATTCAATCGATCTAAGGTCATTTTTTATTCATTATTTATAATTCGCAAAAACTCTTTGTTATTCTTATGAATTGCTTCAGGAAGGTAGGTAGATACTTATTAGAATTCCTTTCCGCTAAAGGTAGGTACCTGAATTAAATACAAAGACATTATCATACATCCAAGCATGTACGTATAATGATGTAGTGATCTGAGATATAAAAAACCGAATTACAAAACTCGCGTTCTTATTCCCACCAAACCACAAAGCTGCCGCTTTATTGGCGGTTTGTTTAAATGCAGCCATGACAGAAACGTCGCCTTTCGATTGGTTAACATCCATATTTTCTCCGCCCACGCTTTATCAGGTGTAGAGGATCCGTCACGTCACCCTCCAAGAGAGGACAAAATCAAAATCCCAGATATCGCGTAGCTTTGTCGGAGGAGCTTTTAGTTCCGCAATGAACTTAGCGCAGGATTAGAGTAGATGTGCGGATAAAAAAAAGTTCAGTGCGTATATTGCTTTTTAATCGGCATTGGTGACATCTTAAGTGCTTTTTGGACGTTTACTAATCGGTTTGACTGTGATTTTAACGCAATAATTTACCCGTTGAATAGTTTAAGAAACTTTTCCATTTTTTGTAACTACTGACTGTCATTGTATGATGTAACGAAGTGATTATCTTGAAGACCTACAAAAAACTATTTTTTGTTGTTGTGGGAAGAATTTTTTTATTTGGTGGTGTATTATGGTTTCCTATTTTAATCCTACCGCAATGTTTCGCCACCAGCAAGCATTAGCTGCTCAAAATGCGCAATTTCATCACGGTAGTTCCCCAATGCCGACGTGGTACGCTGGTGGTTATCACCACCAAGGTGGTCCTCCCCAACATCCTGGAGGTGCCCCTACACCATCTTATTGTATGCAGGATGAGCAGCAGATGTGGCATCATCCAACACCTCATCACAGCATATTTCAACAGGAATATTCAGAAGTCATACACTCTGGGATGCCGTCGCTCCATCATCAACAGGTTTGTATTCATACATGACGTAACGTAGCAATTTTCAAATAATAACCCTCATACTCCATTTTATATCTGAGGGGATAATCAGGAAGGTTCTTTATTACTAATTTTTCTACAATACCGTAATAAGTATTCAGCAGATGTAGAAATTGTTGGTTCAACATCAGTTTTGAAATGCATATCCGGGTTTTTTGATGGGCAAATGGAAGTGATAAATGATAAACTAAATTCTAATTACAAATGGAAATTTCTAATTCTTAACTTGCTTTAAATTTTGACCATACAACCGGTTTATGCCTATTCTCTTGTAATTCCAAATCTCCGCAGGAAAATAAGTTCCCAAATTCCTAAGATTTAGATATGGGTTGAAAAGTGAATTCAATTTAGTATCACCATTTTGTAAGACTTAGATATGGAAGATTTGGCTGATACTAAGTAGAGCCAAATTTGAACAGTAAAAGCTTTTGGTAATGGAATTAGACAACTGCTTGTTATGCGTATAGGCAGATGTCATTATGTCATTTGCTAAAATTCCTTTAATGTCTAACAAGAATTAGGTTGATGAACGTAGCCAGCTTGTTTCTGCATGGATAAAGGGAGGATCAGACCGTTGTAGATTTTAAGTTGCGTGTTACTAAAGTTCTGTAAATATGACAATGTGAAACTACAAGTGTGTAATCTCACATAACTCAAAACACGTTATAATATTAATATATTAAGTACCTAGACGGGAAAAGTAAATAATATCTCAAACCGCATAGTTATATTCTCCCTCTTGGGTAAGAACTTTAGCAACTATGTTCGTTGAGAGCTGAGATGCAAAATGTCTCCATTTGGATAAACTAATAGATATTTTTACATTATTAAATTTTGGATTTAGCAATGAGTGTTGGTGGGTTACGTGAAGTTGAATGCTTGTTGCAAGGACCTGGGCTCACCCGGTCCCACCAGTAGCTCCGTCCGTAATTAGATTGTAAGATGCCTTTTTGATAAGAGTAGGTAATACCTTTGCGGTCTACAAACTGATTAATTAATGATTTACCGTAATATGAATTCATTACCGCATTCAAGAAACCAGGTAAATTGTCTCTATGTTTGTCGCTTCACATCAAATTATGTTTGAAAGACTTCACATTCTTTCAGCTGCTTCTGAATATCATCACCTAGTTAATGTAAAAACTTTTGCAAAAATGTGCTTAAATTTTGATTTCCTCCATAATAGCTTATATGAACGGTAAAAGTGAAAAATGTGTATTCTTAGAAATTTACTCATTTGGAGAAAATGTATCAACGCGTTTCATGATTTAGAGGTTCCACCCCAATAAGATTAAACTGATCGATTGGAAGAAGGAGTATAAACTATCAGCAAACCCTCCATATAGCTTCTTACTGCCTGGTTATTTATTCATTTTCCTGTCTAATATAGGTACTGATGCGAACTTGTATCAAGTTCAAAATTGTGGTCCATGTTTCATAATTGCGAAAAACTTTTGTTGTCAACTTAAAACTGAAAATTCCACAAAAATCTTAGAAACCCAAAATGCTATTCGACACCCAAGATCCAATCCTCATTTTGTGTATCTACACTAATTTCTGGTTGTGATTTCTTATATCAACAACGACAACAACAATAGTCTAATAAGTACTATTTTTACTGTTACGAAATAGATCCTTTTGCGTCGGAGATTACTTGCTGGAACCAATACATGATACCTAAATAATATTATTAATGACTTAGCAATTAATTATTTATAATTTCTTGTTTTTGTTGTAGGTTTTAGATCCGGAATCCCAATTACCGTCCCCACCTATAACCGTTTCCGGTAGTGATATGTCCAGTCCTGGTGCCGGAAACGGTAATGGAAATGTGTCGCCCCCAAGTTCGAGACCTCCTCCAGCACGAAGTCCATATGAATGGATTAAGAAACCATCCTACCAGAGTCAACCAAATCCAGGTAATGGATAATAAAATAATTCTAATAGTTTTGTAAGTTGCAAGTGTGTTGAAAGAAAATATACTGATAAGGACGCATGTAGGTATCTAATTAAGTCTTGAGTTTTCTGTTTTTGAATCACATGTTTACTCATTCTTATTTAAGGAATCAATTTCAAACTTACGTGTACGGTTTGTTTCGCAAAATTATCGTTTCGTACCTTATATCTTTATAGTACCCTGATGTGGATAGTTGTAGTTAGTTACAGAAACACCCTTTGTGCATAAACTACTGTAAAATCATGCACGTTGCTTCTTTAGTGATGCCTATATCCATAGGAATATAGATACTTGTTGAAATATTGTTGGACAACTCCTAAATGTTCCGTTCTCAAAAGGAATTATGCCTTGACTCAATAATTGTGTATCTTCATAGACAAACACTAAGATCCTGTTTTCTGCCACACTATTATAGAAAAAACAAATTCTTTCCATTTTATAACAAGTCCTATTCTATGCTTCGGCAGATTTTGAATCCCTAAAGAACTCGTGTGCCGTTTTTTAACAGAAACGAACTGTGGATTTTGTTATTCCAATTCCTTTTTCGTTACCTTTTCTTCATAAATTAGAGTCATGAGACTATATTCTTCGAGGATTCTTTCCTTCGCATTGAAAATGGATAAGAAACGAAAATATATAGTAAATATAAAATTTGTCGTTATTGTATGCAGGATGAGCAGCAGATGTGGCATCATCCAACACCTCATCACAGCATATTTCAACAGGAATATTCAGAAGTCATACACTCTGGGATGCCGTCGCTCCATCATCAACAGGTTTGTATTCATACATGACGTAACGTAGCAATTTTCAAATAATAACCCTCATACTCCATTTTATATCTGAGGGGATAATCAGGAAGGTTCTTTATTACCTACTGATTTTTCTACAATACGGTAATAAGTATTCAGCAGATGTAGAAATTGTTGGTTCAACATCAGTTTTGAAATGCATATCCGGGTTTTTTGATGGGCAAATGGAAGTGATAAATGATAAACTATATTCTAATTACAAATGGAAATTNTTTAAGTGGTGCCTAATACTTAACTGTAGAAATTATTGTGGCGAGTTTTCCAAAAAAATCTTTTTCCTTTCGCATGATTCAACAATTGCAGCAAATTTTACTTCCTCAAATATCTTTTTTGTTTTTATCCGAATGTGTGCATGATGGAAAATACCATATAATGCACCTTCTATGGATTTTATTTCCCGTTTCAATACATATACGTATGAACATATGTATACACATCATTCCGGTTATTGTAAAGTCAGTAATAATTTCTTAAACAAACTGTTCGCGCATGGTTTCAACCACCTATTAAAGTCGGTAGCTTTTAAAACGTTTGAATTGATGTCTGTGTTTATTTAAAAGGACACAAGAAGTTGATAGGTCGTGACAATGAAAAGAATTTCATTCTTTCAAGCCGCTAAACAAGTGTAGGTGTGTATTAAAATAAAAAAAAAAAATAGTAACAGCATAAAAATGCCGAAATGTTTGCTTTTAAAATTCCACAGGGTACGCATCATGTAGTAATGTAGACTTGTAGGTACTCTGTAGATCCCAACTTCATATTCCAATCAAGACAATATTTATAGTTTTATGATCTTCACTTATTACTCGCTAATTGCAGTAATTGTTCTTATGTCTGGAGTTTATAAATTAAAGCGCTCTTGATTTATCTACTAAGTATTTACTTATTTTGCTCTTAATTATGACTAGATGATTTTTTCGTGCAATTATTTCAGATTTACAAAGGCAAACGAATAACAATTATAAAAACAATCGTTTTGTTTCTTTCTTTTTGTGGCGCAGCCTTTTCACGATCAATTTATATGCATTATAAATAAAAAAGATTTATGCTTTGTTTATAAGAACTGTGCATTATTGGTCTATTAATCATACGAAATGGTTGCTTTCCATAAAAGAGTACATATGTATAATCTGTGTTTCTCTTTTATATAATTGATCTGAATTTTTTTTTAATAAAA